TATCTGTCAAACTAATGTAAATTCACAATAAAGCAAGCCAAAAAAGGAAAAGAAAAGGAGGATGTACTATTAAAAATAGTAAGCATTTTGTCAAATATATAAGGAGCAGGAAACTGGCTAGGGAGGTGACTAGGATGCTGCATGGTGAAGGATCACTTTAGGAAGACAGGGAGATGGAGATGTTGAAGGAGGAGGAGGAGGAGGAGGAGAAGGAGGAGATTGGATTTATACCCCGCCATTCACTCAAGAGTCTCAGAGTGGCTTACAATCTCTTTCCTCTCCCCACAACAGACACCCTGTGAGGTAGGTGGGGCTGAGAGAGCTCTTTGAGAACTGCTCTTGAGAGAACAGCTGAGAGAACTGTGGCTTGCCCAAGGTCACCCAGCAGCTGCATGTGGAAGAGTGGGGAATCAAACCCAGTTCTCCCAGATTAGAGTCTGCACTCCTAACCACTACACCAAACTGAATGAATTTTTTGCATCAGTTTTCACATTGGAAAATGTGGGTCACATACCCATACTGGAGCAGCTATTTTGGGAGAAGGTATCTGAAAACTTAAGTCAAAAAGAGGTGATGAGAGAAGAATTTCCACATCTACATGGCATGTAGCCATAGTTCTTAAGGAAATCAAATATGAAATTGTTGATTTATTAACCAGTATATATAATTCAGAGAGATAGATGTGTTGGTCTGAACCAACAGAACAAAGTTTGAGTCCAGTGGCACCTTTAAGATCAACAAAATTTTATTCTGGGTATAAGCTTTTGTGCACATACACACTTTTTCAGGTACAGAAGATAAAGATATCTATGTGCATGCACACAAAAGCTTAAACCCAGAATTAAACTTTGTTGGTCTTAAAGGTGCCACTGGACTCAAACTTTGCTCAATATACATAATGTCACTAAAATCAGCTGCTGTACTAGAGAATTGGAAAGTGGCAAACATCACACCAATTTTTAAAAACGGATTATGAGAGCCAGTTTGGTGTAGTGGTTAGGAGCACAGAGTCTAATCTGGGCAAATTGGGTTTGATACCTCACTCCTCCACATAGGAGTAAGAAATCCTAACATAAAGCATATGCTTTATGGACTGGCTCAGATTAAGACTATAAGGGAACTTGGGGTTGTAGTAGAGAACTCAGTGAAAATGTTGAATAAGTGTGCAGTAACAGTGAAAAAGGTAAACGACATGCTGGGGATTATTAGGAAAGGGTTTGAACATAAAATGGCCAATACTGTAATGTTCTTCTATAGAGCTACAGTATGGCCTCATTTGTACAGTTCTGGTCACCCTATCTCAAAAAGAATACTGCAGAGCCAGAAAAAAGTACCGAAGAGGGGAACTAAAGTTATTAAAGGGTTAGAACACATTTCCTATGAGGAAAGGCTGAATAATCTGTTAAATTTTCATACTAGAAAGAAACAGGGCTAAGGGTAGGATATGGTAGAGGTTTATAAAATTATGCATGGGATGGAGAAAGTAGATAGAACTTTTTCTCCCTCCTCCCTTAATACTAGAACTTGGGTCACACAATTAAGATGATGGACCACAGGCTGAGGACAGACAAAACAAGTAATTAAACTGTGGAATTCACTGCCAGTGGACATAGTGATAGCCACAAGTATAGATGGGTTTATAAGTGGCTTAGACAGACTCATGCATAAGAGGTTCATCAATGGTTACTATCCTTGATGAGTAAAACGACTGTCTACAATCAGAGGCAGTAAACCCCTGAGTACCAGTGCTAAAGACAACACTGGTGTGGGACTTAGCCTTTGTGTCCTGTTTGTTGGTCCTACAGGGCAGCTGGTTGGCCACTGCGTGAAACAGGATGCTGGATTGAATGGACCACTGGTCTGACCCAATAGAATTCTTCTGGAAACTCAGTTCCCAGGTATGCAGGGCCTTATTTGGATCTGGAACTGCGGCACGTGGGGAGAGAGGGCTTATACTTTCCTACCTGTGTTGCTTTTCTGACCTGAAACAGTCCCACTGGGGGCTCCATGTATACATGTGGTACATGCCTAGATTTCCCCAACAAGGCAAATAGCATCCCTTGCCCATATCAGGTAGGGAAAATGGTGTGGGTGGTCTATGCATACCTGGGAATTAATTTCCCAGCATGTAAATCACAACATACATCTGATTGTGAAGACCTGAGAGATATAAATAAGTACATTTATTTATTTAAAACATTTTTATCTTGTCTTTCCATACAGTTAGGGCCCACATGGTGGCAACATTTTTCAAAAATTAAAAATGTAATGTCCCAAAGGCAACAAGCCCACAGGAGGCTGCATGTTGCATGTCTGTATGAAACCACATGGAAGAAAGTGGCAGAGACAGTAATTACACTTAGTTCAGGAAACACCTTTATAATTAGTATAATGGTTCTAATGTGTTTTGATAATTTTACTTGTAAAAGGAATACTTCTTTTTCTTACTTGCTTGAGAGGAAGCTACTAACACTGTCTTCTGCAATAATGCTACACACAAAATGACAGTATGTTAGCAGTTCTTTCTGAAGCAAATAGAAAAGAAACACTTCCAAATTATATTTCCCTAATGAGGAGCTAAATGCTCAAAATGTATTCTGTGACACTGTTATTGTGCTCAATAACTGCCTGTGCCCACTAGAATCAATGTTTGCATCTCTGTATGAGTCACTTTTTCAAATCAGGAAACATGCTCAGGACAGTGACTCACACAGAAACACAAGGGGGGTCCTCTGAGAGTAATCTTCTTTCATATTTAAAAAGTAATACTATTTTCTGGGTGTATAAGAGAAGTGTGTACCCAGTTTTAATTCAGATAAATAGTATGCCTCAGTAACTGGAAGTTAAGTGAGGACACATGTTTCTACAGCTATACCATATTATCTAGGATTGCCACGGCACTATTGGGATGGACTGGGCAAATACTGGAAGAATGTTTTTGTAGCAGGCCCCTGTGAGGCAAAGGATGCATTGCTGTTTGCATCTTACTGATCTCACAAACAATAAAACCCTTCAATGATGGGACTTTCATTCTTGACTATTACAATCCACTTTGCCAAGATACTATCTTCTCAAATACAACTAACTTTGAAAATATTCCCAGCCTTCTGATGTCCTATCTTTCTTATATATAATTGAGTACTGGGGTGGCACTTTCTGAACATTCCACATGCTCCTAAATCAGTTGGCTCCATGATGTGTCACTCAGAAGCTATCCCTATCCACTGGCTGCATTGTCTGAGTCCTGCCCACAGTGAGCTCCATCAGCCATTGGCCCATCAGCCACCACTCAAGAGTACTTGCGTGCCATTGGTCGGGTGCTGGGTCTGCTCCACTTCCCCGCCCACTCCAGCCACCGTTCGCCTGCTTGACTCGTCTGTGGGACTAACTTTTCCCTCAGTGGCTGTTGGTAGGCAACCAAGCTTGGTTCTGTCAGTAAAAAGACAAAGGAATGAAACCCTTTCCACGCCTTTGCAAGAAACTCATTGGGGCCAGTCCTGACTAGGGTTGCCAGCTCCAGGTTGGGAAATTCCTGCTTTTGAGTCCTTCCACATACACCCAGTGTTGCCCTCCAGAGGATCCACCCCCCAAATAAACAGGTTGCTTACCTGTAACTGATGATCTTTGAGTGGTCATCTGTGCATTCACACCTCTGGGATATAATGCGCCTGTGCCGACCCCGATTGGTAGAATTGAAAGCAAAGGGAATTTTTGTGCCCACTCCCCCGTCATGTGCAGGGCTCCAATGGGCATGACTAGGGGAGGGGCACGACAATTCCACCAGTTCCTTCTGACCACTGCCATCAGCCATGAAATAAATTAGAGGATTGACAGCAGAGGGGAAGGAGGGTGGGTGGTGTGAATGCACAGATGACCACTCAAAGATAATCAGTTACAGGTAAGCAACCTGTTTATCTTCTTTGTGGTCTTTGTGCATCACACCTCTGGGAGAGTAACAAGCAAAAAAACCCAAGCCTACCTGGAGGAGGAAACTGGAAGTCCTCAAATGCATGCCAACTACAACACAAACCATCCCACTGCAGATCACTGATGAAGACATACATCAAGGGCATAGTGTCTCACAAACATGTGAGGTGTGGCCCAAGTTACTGCATTGCAGATATCATGTAACGACGTGCCCTTCAGGAAGGCCGTGGAAGTGGCTATCGCCTGCGTGGAGTGCGCATAAAGCATACCTGGAAGGGGCTTCTTTGCTAATAGGTAACAAAGTTTGATTGTTTCCACAATCCACTTGGACAGCCGCTGTGATGACAGCTTGCTCCCAATCAAGGGCATGGCGTAGGAGACGAACAGGGAGGGAGATTTACGAAATGACCTTGTCCTCTTCAGGTAGAAGAGCAAAGCCCTTTTCATCTAGTGTGTGGAGGTGGCGCTCCGAATCATCCCAAGGGTCAGGAAAAAACACAGGGAGAGCAATGTTCGCTTGTAAATGAAATTCCGAAACGACTTTAGGGAGGAAAGATGTCCGGAGCTAACGTGACACCCGTCTGGTGGAAAACTAGATAGGGTGGATCATGGCTCACCCTCCTGACGGATGTTATGGCTACCAGAAAGGCTGTTTTCCATGACAGGAGCTGTAAACTACACGTAGCCCTAGGTTCAAAAGGCTTACTTGTAAGTTTGGTCAACATGAGAGGTAAGTCCCAGGCTGGAGTAGGGAGTCGAGATGGTGCAAAAAGGCGGATGAGTTCTCGTAAGAAATGCTTGAAGAATGGGTGAGTGAACATGGAATGGCCATCAATCGGAGGGTTTTTTTTTTGCCGAGATTGCTGCCAGATACACTCTCACCAATGTATAGCTGAGGCCCTGGTCCAAACAGGACAAGAGAAAGCTACAAATGGCAACCAGATCCGAGGGGGGAGGACAATCTCAGTAAGGTAGGACAGAAACTTTTTCCACTTCCCTTCATAGGACTTTCGAGTACATGGCTTATGACAGTTCAACAAAACATGCTCCACCCTGTCTTATAGAGACCTCACATGATCTTCCATGCCGTGAGCTTGAGATGCAGGATATCGTGGTAGAGCACCAAGTCCTCCTGTGCAAGGAGAAGGTCCGGCACTGTTGGGATATGGATGAAGGAGCCCTTGGATAGATGCAGCAGAGTGAGAAACCAGTGGTGCCTGGGCCAACATGGGGTCACAAGGATGAGGGGCTTCCGTTATAATTTTGTGAAACACTCTGGTAAGTAGGGGATTGGTAGGAAGAGGTATAGGTATTGGTGGGACCAGGGGTAAAGGAGACCATCACCTATAGATAAGGTGTCCATTCCCTCCCTCGAACAAAATAGGTGACACTTTTTGTTCTGCCGTGTAGCAAAAACATCCACGTCTGGATGCCCCCATCTGTCGAATACTGGTTGGAGATACTTCCAGTTGAGTTCCCACTCATGAAGAGACACTCCCCCTCTGCTCAAGAAGTCTGCAGTTACATTGAGGGAACCAGGTAGGTGAGCCACTACCAGGAAAACGCCCCAGGATTGGCATTCATCCCAAATCTCTAAGGCCAGCCTGCAAAGGCTTCTTGACACTGCGCTGCCCTGATGATTGACATAACACAAAGCTGTGATATTGTCCATTAAGATTGCTACCGTCTGATGGGATATCAGATGTAGGAAGGACCGGAGGGCATACCAGATGGCTAGAAGCTCTAGGAAATTTATTTATTTATTTATTTATTTATTTATTTATTTATATTTCTACCCCGCCCTCCCCACGCACGGACTCAGGGTGGCTTACAATGTACGGGTGCAATACAACACCGTAGTTCCACAGTAAGGCACACAGTGCAATAAAAACACAATAAAACATTTTAAAACAGTTAATACAGTTAAATACAGTGGGCAATGCCCAAGGATCCCACGTGACTGACCCCCTCTCTCCCTATTGCACATACCCTTGAGTCAAAAAGTCAAAAAGGGAGGATGCTGTGGCCCCGATGTTTGTTGGCCAATCAGCCTCACCCAGCGGTACTGCTGTGCAGGCCACTGTTGGTGGTAGTAGTGGCAGCGGCGGCTCCTATTCAAAAGCCTGGCGGAAGAGCTCCGTCTTACAGGCCCTTCTTGTGAGCCACTGAAGTCTCCTAAGCTGCTTCCCCACACAGTCCGTTTAGGTGTGCTCCCCATCCCCAGAGGGATGCATCCATTGTGATTGTCATTGATGGGGTGGGGGGTTAAGGGGTAATTGATGTAAGTTTTTTGGGTTTTCCCACCATTCGAAGGAGGTTAGAATTCAAGGTGGGAGAGTGAAGCACTGGGACTGAGGGTGACGCTGAGGCTGAAATATCTTTAGAAAGATTAAGAGGTCTCATACGCCGTCTGGCAAACACGATCACTGAAGTCGTGGCGGCCATCTGTCCCAAGAGACATGGAGTTGCTTCGCTGAGGCTTCCCTGTACTGACATAGTAGCTGGACAAGGGGGATGATGCCTTGGGCTAGCCGGGGGGGGGGGAGCTCTGCACACTCTGGAGTCCAGGATCATGTCAATGAACTGGACAGTCTGGGATGGGTGAAGCATCAACTTCTTGTGATTCACGCAGAGCCCCAACTTGTTCAGGGACTCCAGGGCAAGGTCGATGTGGCAGAGGAAGATGGACTCTGAACCCACTACCAGCAACCAGTCGTCTATGTACGGGAAGATGCATATCCCTTGAAGATGAAGGTGTGCGGCCATGGCCACCATCATTTTGGTGAATACCCGGGTGGTGGTGGACAGCCTGAACGGGCGGGCTTTGTGCTGATAATGGTGCTCTCGTACTGCAAAACGGAGGAACTTTCTGTGAGCATGATGTATCGTAATATGAAAACAAGCATCATGCAAGTCCAAGGTCCCCATCCATGCTCCTTGTTCGAGGCTAGGTAGGATGCACTGCAAAGTTGTCATTCTGAAGTTCTTGTACTGGATGAAACGATTGAGGTCCCTGAGATATATAATAGGGTGGAGGTCTCCGTCCTTCTTGGGGACCATAAAATAGTGGGAGTAGAAGCCATGGCACTGGTGTGAAGTTGGAACCGGTTCTATGGCGTCTTTGTGTACCAAGTTTTGAAACTCTTCCAGGAGTGTGGACAAATCACTAGCTGCTGGGGTGCAGACTCACAGGGATACCAAGGCTCTGCAGATGCGTGGGGAGGGAATCTATTAAAATTATCTGTCCCTGAGCTGGATGGATCTAAGCAGCTTTCTGATTCTCAGCTCATTTTAAAGCATATTCCATGGCAGTGATGGAGGGAAAGAAACAATACTTTCCTACACCATTCGGTCTGTTCCAGGTGGTCAGAGGCCTGTTGAGATCTGGTCAATTTCAAAAGTTCCATTCTTCAGCAAGATGACTGAACACATGGTAGCCGGACAACTTCAGACATTCCTGGATGAAAGAAACATTTTAGATCCTTTCCAATCTGGTTTTAGGCCTGGCTATGGGACTGAAATAGCCTTAGTCACCGTGGCGGATGACCTACACCAGAAGATGGACAGCTGGAGTGCAACTCTGTTGGTTCTTCTGGACTTTTCAGCAACTTTCAATGTCATCAATTATGGTATCTTTCCTACGCTGGGAGTGGGATACAACTTTTTATGGTGGTCCCAGTTCTACCTGGATGGCAGGTTTCAGAAGGCGGTGCTGAGGGACAGCTGCTCAGCCCCTTGGCCTCTGGCCTGAGGGGTCCTGCAAGGCTCTGTCTTGTCACCTATGCCTTTCAGGTTCTATAGGAAACTGCTGGGTGACATCACCTGGAGATTTGGACTGGGCTGTCACCAATAAGCGCATGATACTCCACTCTAGCTTGCACTTTTAGCTTATCCCAGGGCGGCAGCAGAAATCCTGAACTAGTGCCTGGAGGCAGTTTTGGAGTTGCTGTAAACTAGAACATAAGAACATAAGAGATGCCAATATTGGATCAGGCCAAAGGCCCATCCAGTCCAACACTCTGTATCACACAGTGGCCAGAAATACCAGTGCCATCAGGAGGTCCAGAAGCCATCCCACTGTTGACCCCCCAAAGCACCAAGATGACAGAGCATCACTTGCCCCAGAGTCCCTATCTATACCTTGTGGCTAATAGCCACTGATGGACCTCTGCTCCATATGCCTATCTAATTCCCTTTTGAAGCCGTCCATGCTTGTAGCCGCCACCACTTCCTGTGGGAGTGAATTCCAAGTGTTAATCACTCTTTGGGTGAAGAAGTACTTTCTTTTATCCGTTCTAACCCGACCGCTCAGCAATTTCATGGAGTGCCCACGAGTTCTTGTACACTTAAGCTTAATCCTGACAAGATGGAAGTCCTACTGGTGAGCAGAAAGTCTGACCCAGGATTTAAGGTGTCATCTGTTCTGGATGAGGTTTCAATCCGTTTGAAAGAATAGGTCTGTAGTTTAGGAGTTTTTTGGACCAAGGCCTACAGCTGGATAAGCAGGTGGTGGCTGTTGCCACGAGTGCTTTTTACCAGCTTTGACTGGATAGCCAGCTGTGGCCTTTCCTCGACAGAGAAGATCTGGCCACTGTGGTGCATGCCCTGGTTACATCTAGATTAAATTACTGCAATGGGCTCTGTATGGGGCTGCCCTTGAAAAGTGTTTGGAAACTTCAATTGGTGCAGAATGATGCAGCCAGGATGTTGACTGGAGTGGGTCATGTGGATCATATCACTCCAGTCTTGACGCATCTACACTGGCTAGAAAAACCTCCTCTCTCTCCATCTGGGCCAGATCCATGGATTTAAATATTCACACATTGGGGTATAGCTGGCTATTAGAACTATGACAGTACTGTACAACTAGCCCGGTCTCATCAGATCTCAGAAGCTAAGCAGGGTCAGCCTTGGCTAGCATTTGGATGGGCAACTTCCAAGGAATACCAGGGTTGTGACGGAGAGGCAAGCAATGACAAACCACCTCTGAAACATCTCTTACCTCAAAAATAAGTCTAGCTTGCCACCTAGTGGTGTATAATGCTAAATAGCTAGAACTTCTGACTATCAGATGATCTTAGGATCTCCTGGCTATACTATACACAATGACACACAATAATAATCATTACTGCAACTATACTGTGTCCAAAGTTCATTTTATTAGTTATCTATAAATGATATGTTAAAAGCATAAAACCTAGAGCGTACACATGGCACATACCTTTTTATACATAAGCTGTTTTACACATAACCCACTATAAAATAAATTCATTTGCATAGGAAAATATTTACATATCTCCGGGGTCAAAGTATATGACATTCATTCACAAATTATATGAAGTACAATGTACATTGAGACCTCAGGAGAACTTGCAACTAAGGCAAGAAACACATGTTTTACGTATTGCCAGGGTTTCTTCCCCCCTCAATTTCTGACAGCACCCATCAAGGAAATGAAAAATGGTAGTATGGAAAAAGTCCAATTTCTTTTAATACATGGTGCAAAGAAAGCTCATATTCTCAGATTTAACAACTGCCATTCGTGAGTCCATACTGCAAATGAAAAACCAAAGAAAACTTAATTTTAAGTTCCTACAGACTATACTGTACAATTTAATCACACGGTAACCTCCAAAACAAGTTATATTCAAGAGTCCAGATATTTGGAATTTATGGCCAAACTATTACTGAAACAAGAAAAGGCTCCATTCTTATATGCTCACATTTAAGATAGGAAATATTATGTAGGAATAAGAATTGGTATCATTGCTTTCCATTGGTCCAATTTATTTCCAATGGAAGTATGACCTTTCTGTACTAACCCCAACCATGAGACTGGGATGACAAGGGAAATCCTGATCTGCAAGGCATTGCCTTCTCTCTGAAAGATTAGATTTCCAGTTTGAGGGTGTTCCTGGACCCAGCTTTGATTATACATATCCCAGATAGAGACTGTATAACCCAGAGTGTCTTTTCTCAGCTCTGATTGATTCTTCAGCGTTCACACTTTGGAACTGTCAGGGGTGAATGTTGTGGACACTATTTGACACTGACAAGTGTATCAGAAATTAATAGACATTTAAGTAGACAAAGGGTCTTAGAAAGTTATGTACATACTGAGAGTGTCTAGAGAAGGAAAGAACTTGTGGCATGAAAGTTTCCAAAAATGCCAACATGTATGATATCATACATATATCAACTCTACTGAAAATTCCAGCAGTCATATTTTTAAGAAACATGCTTTTTAAAGAAACATGCCTTTATCCAACTGCGGTGAACCATCTGCCTTATCTTAGCAAAATGCTACAGTCTGATTGCATACACTTCAGTCAAAAAGGCTGTTTCCATTCTAGCCATTTGTTTGCAATTACCACTCAGTTCAAATAATAATTCAGATAATATATTTGTCAACGCAGTGCATTCCATCACTTTTTACACTATCCTCCAACCTTTCTTCTGACCTGTTATGTAGAGGATTGTTTGTCTTTTGTGTGCTTGGTCAAAACTCTACTACAGTACCTTCTGTATAGGCAAAATCTTCCTGTCATGTCTTAAATCAAAAATTAGCAATGCACGTTCCCAGGGGGGAGGGGGGAGGGGCGGAGTACTGGCTTTTGCTTTGCAAAACTACAAAGCACAATAAGGAGCCATTACAATTAAGATAATAAGCAAAATTAACACCCCCCAAAGAAATAACTAATTAGGCTATAAATAGATCAAAAGGGAAAACTGCAGAGATAAATAGGATTTAACATCCTAGTAACCATACAGCCAGTCAGAGAGCGGGCTAGAATTGCTAGATTTTTATGGGGAGTCATAACATAATTTCATCCTTCTAAGCAAACTGACTTCAATGGATTTAGAAGGGTACAAGGGGGCGGGATCCGCGATACTCGCGGGGGGGAGGGACCTCCACACAGGAGGCAGAGGAGGAAGCAGGAGGAGGAGGTAAGTTCCCCCCCATCCCGCCGGTTCCTCCTCCGTCTCCTCCACCCGCCCCCACTCGATCTCCCCCCCTTCCCTTCCCCCTCAGCCTCGCTGCTCTCTTCCCCCCCCCCAAAGCGGCGGCGGCGAGGGAGTTCGCATGCGCAGGGGATGCTCTGTCACTTTTGTTCCCCCCCCAGGTGGCGGTGGCAAGGGAGTTCGCAGAGCGTCCCCTGCGCAGGCGCAGGGGACGTTCTGTTACTTTGGGGGGGATTTAAGTATCCCCCCAATATTTTTTTCAGGTTTTAAGATTTTTGTGCACACCTGGGGACCGTACCAAGTGTGCACAAAAATCTCCCTCCCCCCAGGTGCCCCCGATGCACGGATTTAGGTATCCACACAGAGGGGGCATCTTCGGAATTAGATCTATAGATAACTTTGCTCAGGATTGTATTGATAGTGATTGTTCCTTTCACAGATGCAAACTAACTTTAGTTTTTTTTAAAAAAAATATTAATCAATCTCATTTTATAGCTCTTACATACCCACCTTTTCTCAGACAAGGGATTGCAAAACAGAAATAGAATGTAAATGTATAGCCTATTCCAGAAATATGTTGACCATGAGTTAGAACCCTTGTGCATAGTTAAGTCCTATATTTATTTACTCACATAATTCAATTTAAGATTACTAAATTATTTTAAATATTGTGCTCACTTAAAATTTATTTCTTCATTCACCTGATTTTTTGAAAATATCTAGATTTAGGAAGTGGCTGAAAAGGAACTGTCATAATAGGGTGCTCCTTCCTACACCTACATATTCAATTGTCAACACATGACTAATACTGCAAC